TTTAATTTTTTTTTTCAAATTTATAATCAATATACATAACTTGATAATTACAACACCAAAATAGGCTCTATTTAGTTCCCATTTAAGGCCGAAAATGCATCAAAATCACGTATTTTCACAATTCCGGAACCGGATCTCAGTCATGCATGGATGGATTTTGTTCAGATTTAGTACAATGTGTTGTACATATGCAGGTGCATTTTGGCGATCTGATACAAATGTCAATCATTTAAATATTAAACAATCATCATAATCATATTCCTGACATGGTTATATTCCAGCTATATTACTATAAACAAAACTATACATCTTAAATTTGATAACTAACTGCGTCTGTGCCATGCATGGCTTGTTTATTATGTCTCCGAACTCGAAAGCAATTTTTTTAAATATATTAGCCTTATTATTATTTAACATTGATCAGTCAGTCAATGTGAAAAATTCACTTATTAAATCTCATCATGCAGTGATCAATCATTATTAAAATGTATACAACGAACCGCATAATTGGCCGGTATAACTGTAACAACAAACTGGCTACATTTTTAAAACAATCAGCGATGAAGTTAATGAGACAAACCATTTTACTCAAAGGAGTGGTAACTGTGATCTCATTTGTCCCGAACAAACCCGGAATGTGACACGTTCGTATAAAAACAAGATTTGGATGGTAACGGTTTGACAATTATCGTAATATACCAATTACTAAATCCTGTAATAAGCTGGAGCTGCCTGCCACCCTGGTCTGGGAACCCAGTCTGGCACCCATTTGAGTTCAGGGAATGGAAGTTTCTCTGAACATTCATTTATCGTGTACAGTCATCATTGTTGTGAATAGCATTTGTGGTGTAAAATAGTCCGGGGAATTTTGTTTTAACAAAATAAAGGTGTTTAGAGCGACCACCGTTGTCTTTAATCAGCTTCGAAAATTTCCTGTATCCTATATACTCTGCTGTTGAGCAAATGACACCAGCTGACACTAGATCATTCTTCAGTGCAACAGGATATCTGTTCGTTTAGCTCAGAAACTGTACAAAACGGTACTTTTTAGGGCCAACACATCCTCCAGAAAAAAATATACCGTGTTTTAACAAGTGTAACACTTTGATCTAGCTGTGGGTCCATTGCTCTTTTTGTGTCGGCTATTGGTCTTTCTGGTGGTTTTTTAGTTGGTGTCATCAAATTTGTTATTTTCAGACATTAAGATTTTTATCGACACAGAAGAGCTATGCCCCCTATTTGTTTATCATAACCAAAACATATCCATTTACAAAGCCTGTCGCCGACACTGGAACACGTTTCGATCTAACTAATTTCATGCAATTGTGATGTTTGTTGTAGGCTATTTGCTCTATTAGAAGCGGGAGTTTGATGGAAATCTCACCAAAAGAATTTACGTCACTATCGTAGATGCGCTTTTGATAGTGTAACATTGTATTAAAAGTGCATATCTAATATAAAAGAAAAAATGCATTTATTGTATACAGAATGATTAGAATGTGACTTTGGTTGTGAACTCGTCTTTCATTACAAGTAGAGTAATACAATAGTGTGAATGATATTGCACACTTTGTATGTCTCTAATTGTCATCCTTATAAAGCATATGTAGTTCATGTTGGATTATTTCTTTGGTTGCAGCATGTAAAAGCCAGTTTTATGATTAGACTTTCAAAATAAAGTATATGGAGTACATAAATTACAATGTGCTCATCATCTTTTTACAGCGTGCAATGCTACAAGAAGAAGAGATGAAGCGCGAGATTGAAGACAGTCAGCAAAAATTAAAGGAGTCTGTTAACATTAATACACAACTAAGCCAGGATAGGTATGTTCTAGTCAATATATACCATGTGTACCCGTGTCATCCCTGCGTGTACCCGTGTCATCCCTGCGTGTACCCGTGACATCCCTGTGTGTAAGCCCACATCATATCATTGTACTCGCATTGCTCTATATTATTTTTAACAGTTTATTTACTACATTTTTTTCATTTACTTTCTAGGGCTTCACTGGAAGAGAAAGTAAACAATCTACAAGTACGCATGTCTCAGCTGATATCAGACACTGACATTAAAGATTCACTTATCATGGGTTTAGAGAAACAAACTGAGAATCACAAAGAAGAGATTAAATTAGAACGGCAAAAATCACTGAAATATGAAGAGGATTCTACTCTTTTGAAAGAACAACTTGAAATGTAAGTTTTATCCAGTGATCAGTCATATTGTTAACCCTACCAGATCAAAATTTAGTGCAAATATTTTCACATTTTGTGAAATTTTATGATTTCAGTCCACACTGACTGTTCGGGATATTGCTTTTAGTTTCTGATCAAAAAAATTTGTTGATTCTTATCAACATTTTTCATGGGAAGAAGCAGACTGTAAAAGTTGTTTCTCTAATGTACGTTTAATTTAGTGTTCAGTTAGACTTAATTTGATCAGAATCTACTCTATTGATATAATTTTTACCAGCTGTGAACATACTATGACGAACAACTTGAAATCATTGTCTGAGAAGTATCAGTCAATGGAAGAGACGTTAGCAACGGTGGAAAATGATTACCGAAAGAAGATTGATCTGTTGAATTCAGAACTACATTCCAATCAAAAGACATCATTTCAATTGACGAATGAATGCGAGACGTTGAGAAGGAATAATATTAATCTGTTAGATCAACTGAATTATGAAAAGGTGAATATCAACATTCTTTGTGTGTAAATTGTCGAGGCTAGTAAAAACTACATATCTATATGCATGCTTTGGTCACAAATAAGTCAATGTCCGCACAGATCTCTAGTGTAGAATATTTTAACTCTTAGCTGGTCAAATTACTGGCTGGCAGGATAAATCTTTAATGTCTTCACTGATCTCTGTTTCAGGACAAAAAGGATTATTTACAATCAGATCTGAGTAAATTCAAAGAAGAGTCAAATAGAATTGAAGCAAGTCTAAAAGAACAACTTAAACAGGTGAGATATACTGACTCCTGAATTCTAAGTAGATCTAGCGCTTAACACTGGCACAGCAGTGGTAATTTTGAAATTACCTTGGACCACTAATATTCTGTCACGTATCCTTTGCTATTAACCATCTTGTGATATGCGGTTATGTCATGAAATGCTTATAAAAAAGGGAGGTAGATGTATACAGAGATGACTGCAATAAAGGTCAGAATACATAGAAAGGTTAGAATATAAGCTGCCTTCTTATTGGTCAATAGGTATGTGTGTAGTTGTTGGTTGACACTCAAAGATAAAACAATGGCATTATTCTCTGCTATACGTAATACAAAGGCCAGGAAAACTGGTGTATGCGAGGGGTGGAGTCATTTGCCAGTTTGCTCAACGGCTGGATTCGTTTGCTTATAATATAATAACGTACGTTCAAATGTGTTTACCTTGGTTATGAAATGATGCTGTTGAGGCTTTTACTTTAGGGGTGGTTCACACATGAAAATAATGGTAGCAAATAGGTGTC